CCTGCAGATCCAGGCACGCACCGCTGCCGCTCTCCCTCCTGGAGAGGCAGATGGAGAAGGAGGGAGATGGAGATGGCGGGGCTGGGCTCCATGCCCACATCCTGCCAGCCCCCTGCCAGCCCTGGCACAACCCACCCCCAGGGAAGAGGGCAGCTGCAGGGTTCCAGCGAGGTCTGCCCAGGGGCTCGGAGGGACGCTCGTACTCACAGGAGGTTTGTGACCGACGACTCCGACATGGATGTGCGACTGGGCATGGAGGGCAGTGCCAGCTTGGCAGCCGAGAGCACGTGGCCACCCTGGGAAGTGGGAGGGCAAGGCTGGCATCAGGGCAGCAAGGACCCAGCTGGGCTGGGGAGGTCCCCACTGCCTGACCAGAGGGGACACGTGTGGCCATACATGAGGGGGACTGCCACCCCAGGCCAGCCACCTCCTGTTGGGGCCATCCTGCCACCCGGCCCCCAATACATGTCCCTACCTGGTCGACAAAGCTGATAGCATCACGGATGTTGAGCTTGTAGTAAACGTCCCAGATCTCGTCCCGCAGCCTGTAGGCAGATTTCCGCATCAGGAGTTGGCTCAGGTACTTCTTGTCGAACTGTTCCCACCTGCCACAAGATGAAGACACGGGCGGTTTAGCTCCCATGGAGTACCACGGCCAGGGACCACCTGCCCACGCAAGGCTGAAAGTGTCCAAAGCATGGTGAAAGCAGGCTGGGCACGCAGGACATGGCTGTGCCCAGGGACACGCTGCCAGGGAGAGCAGGAGGGGAGGGGACACGCTGACCCTTCGTCCCTGCCCAAGGGGAAGCCAGAGACTGATGGGTCTGCAGGAGGCGATGGGAGTGGGACTGGGGCCGGCGCAGCTGCCCCGCTGGAGCGCTTCCCCTCCAGGAAACAGGCTTTTTTCATCCTTTTCCTGTCACTGTGCCGCAGATAAACACTGCCCAGGCTTTAACAGCGCTGTTCCCTCCTCAGTGCCCAGCGCAGCTCCATCCATGGGGAGGCACAAGGCCACCACCGCCACCACGGACACCCCACGGACCCCAGCAGCTCTGGCAGGGGCAAGCAATGCCAGCTGTCGCAGCATCGCCAACCACACCTGCCCGACCTCTCTCTGGGATGCTCTTGGGACCTCAGTTTGCTCCACAAAAGCAGCCAGATGGTCCCCTTCCAGATGGACTGATGGACAGACCTACGGCCTTCCTGGTCCTCCTGCCCTGCCTACAGCAGAGGTGTCCTCCAGCGGGGACCCTGTGATGTCCCCATGGCTGGCACGCGTCCCCCATCCACCTGATGGCCAAGCAAAGGCTACTGGCTAAGACACTCACTTGTCCCTCCAGTAATGGTAGCCGTGGGGCCCCACAATGTCCTCCACCGCTGCCAGGATGTGGTCAAAGGCCTTGAGCGAGGAGAAGAGGGTGAGAGCGGTGGCAAGGCTGCGGGTGCCCCGGGGGTGCCGAGGCCGTGCATTGCCCTTGCCCAGCTCCAGTGGTGCAGGGAGCCAGGCAGCCTTCGGAGCCAGCACCTACGTGCTCATGCAGCTCTTCGTTCAGCGTGGGCTTGTGGTGGTCGCTGCGCTTCACCTTCAGCCACGTCACCAGGGGTTTGATGGTGAGGCCCTGGAACGGCAGGAGAAGGCAAGGGAAAGACTGGGAGGGCGAGAGGGTGCATGGCTGGGGCACAGGGGAGCAGAAGCAGCACGAAGTGACCAGGGACAGCAGCTGTGCTAGCCACATGTGCCCCTACCAACCTGACTTCCTATGCCTGGGACCTCGGCAATGGTCCTGTGTCCCGGCAGGCAGCAAGCATATCATACCCTCCCCAATCCCCCTTCCCCTAGGCTTGCATCCATCCGCCCTGCAGCTACCCTTCTCCAAGTGCAGGAACCCCAGAGCCAGGGCCATCAGCAGCTTTGTAAAGAGAAGAGCCTGCCCAGGCACACATCGTTCCTGCTCTTGGAGCCAGACCCAGAACAAGAAGCCAACAGGTAAATGGTGTGGGCCATGGCCCCACCATCACAACAATTGCTGCGGCGGTCCTGCATGCCAGCCTGGTGATGGATGGGGTCCCAGGAGGCACCGAGGACCAAAGATCACTTGAAAAGAGGAACTTGCCCCAAGCATACATCCCCAAGCGCCTGCCTGGCACCCCAGGCCAGCTCTGGAGCAAGAAGGAAGCACTGGAGGAGGGCACAGTGCCTGTCCTCACCTGCACAATGACAGTGAAGAACACCACCACGATGGTCGTTGCCACAAAGTAGTCCTTGGCTTTCACTTTTGCCCTGTCCAGCAGGATGACCAGGGCAAAGGCCACGGCCCCACGGAGGCCACCGTATGACATGACCACCTGGTCAATCCTGTCCAGGGGGATGAGGCGAAAGCGGTTGAGCACGCAGGTCTGGAGAACAACACCTAGGGAAGAAGGAGAAGGAGAGTCTGGGATGCTGGCAGAGCCCTTCCTGCTCCTGGAGATGGGGCAAACCCCCAGCCAGGAGCCGTGGCTGGCCTCATGCCCTAGCCTTTTTTGGGGGATGCCACTTTTTGGCATGAGAAGGGCTGGGTGCTACCAGCCAGAAGAACAACAGGGCAGACTGACCCACAGCTCTGAAGAGCAGGATAAAGAACAGGGTGCCCAGCACCAGTGCTGTGTCCCATGCCCACTTGGAGGTGTCCACAGCTGAGATGCCCAGAAACATGAAGATGATGGTCTCTGAGCTGCTGGCCAGTGTCTTCATGGTGTATTTGACCGTGGTGCGGGATTTCTGAGAGATGTTGGCTTCCACATACTTCTTGCAGCAGATCCCACAGAAGGTGACTCTACAGGGGGGCAGAAGGAGCTGGCATGAACCTACAGCGGCATGAGGAGCGGGTCTGCTCACCACCTCTTGCTGCTGCTGTTCAGTTGCCCCCGATTTCTGAGACCCCCCCGGGGGACACCCCGGTACTCACGCCAAGATGGAGGAGAGTGAGACCATCTCAGCAGCAAGGTACGCGACGTAGGCCAGGAGGAAGACGAAGAGCGGCTCGATGATGCGCACACGCTTGGTGAACCGCGTGATCAGGGCCAGGAGGAAGGCAAAGAGCAGCCCCACGGCCGTGCCCCCCAGGCTCACCAGGAAGAAGGAGGCTGGTTCGGGGGAGAAGACTCGTTCGCACCATAAGCAACCGAGCCCAGCTTCTGTGCCCCATGGCCATACCACGCTGGACTGGCCAAGCCCCGTGCTCCCACCCAGGTCCCCACCAAAGCATCCCATAATGACGGTCAGCATGTGACCACTGGGATGGAGATGACAGAGCTGTGGTGCTCAGTGCTCACCCCACAGTATGACAGCACCCGTGCTTGCCTCCCACACCTCCAGGCCAGAGGAAGAGGCAGAGGGGCTGGTGGGGCACATACTCACCTACCCCCTTCACGTAGTCCGTGGCATGGATGTGCGCTGGGCCCAGCTCCACAAAAGAGTTGAAGACCTTGTACAGCACCTGCAGGCAAGGCAAATCCCTTGGGGAAGGCAGGGTATTGCCCTGCCTAGAGAGGGGCAGCACCTGCGGGCGGGATGGATCCTGCAGAAGAGGCATCGCCTGCCCCTAATCTGCCAGGCCACACAGCTCATCTCGGCAGGCAAAGTCCTCCAGGGCCGGGAGAGAGGAAAGACCAAGAGAGCATGGCATGGGTCTGCCCCCAGCTTGGGGATGTCCCCTGCATCCTCTGCCCATCCCGGTGGACTCCAGTGCCCTGGCCCATGTTGGGCTCCACATTAGGGTGCCCCGAGCTCCAACTCACCACAGTGACAGCATCATTCAGGAGAGACTCTCCAAACACGATGATGAAGAGGGTCTCATTTACATGGACCTCTTCGAACACAGCTAGCACTGCCACGGGGTCCACAGCTGAGATGAGGCTGCCGAAGAGCAGGAAATCCATCAGCCCAGCTTCAACACCTGGATCTGCTAGGACAGAAGGACCAAGCTCAGGGAGACCATCTGCCCCAGAGCCCCTCTCACCAGGCTGAAACAAGCCTGTCCCCCATCTGCTCCCAGTGACTTGGCTGCAGCATCGCAACCTGGAATGCCGTGGGCTGAGCCTGGGAGTGCTCCCAGATCTCCGGGGTCCCCCAGGCAAAGCGGGGCTCAGCACACCCTTGCTGCAACACGAGGGGAGCCGGGCTCAGTTGTCTCCCTTGGCACCCAGGTGCATCAGTGCCCCTCCAGCATGTATGGACCAAAGGAGGCTCAGCAGCCCCACCTGAGGTCCAGGCATCAAGCAGTTCCTCCAGGCTCAGCAGAGCTCAAAACACAGCCCAGCCCAGCCAGGGCCAGCGGCTCCAGCCAAGGACAGGGAACATGACAGTGAGCCAGCAAAGCTAGCCAAGGTTGGTGACAAAAATAGCAAAGACATGAGTCAGCCAAGTGCCAAGCACAGCCCGTTTGTCCTGCACGCTTGACGGTCCTGCCAGAGCACCGTTCCCAGGATACCAGGATCCCGCTCCTGCTGTAATTCCTGGGAATCCACGGCAGGGCCAGGCAGTGGGCTCTGAACTTGGGGGTGATTTGCACCTCCAACCCATCTTTGGGGGATGTGGTACAAGCTGAGCAGCCCTGTGCACCCACCCATGAGCCCGGCCCGGTGCAGCCCCCAGAGTGCAGTGCCGGTGGTGAAGGAGTTCCAGAGTGTGCCCACCACTGCATAGGTGAGGATGGCACCAATGTTGTCGAAGAAGAGCCGGCTGGGCATGAAATAGCCTGAGTCTAGGACGATGGGGGGTAGAAGGAAGAGGAAGAACATGTTGGGCTCCAGCTGGTACTCAGCTTTCTTTGCCACGGCCAATACAATGCCCCCCAGGCCCAGCCCCAGCAGGATGAGGAGGCAGCTCTCCGGGACAATGGATGTCACCTTCCTTGACAGGTGGAAAACTAGAAGGAAAGGAAGAATGAGAGCATCAGTCAAACAGGCACATGGAGAGAGCATCCCAGATCCACGAGCTTCACAAAGAGTTGGCTGATGCATGATGGACCCTGGGGAGGACAAGGGAGTACCTAAGGCTGCTTCATGGCCATGTGTGCACAGAAGACCTTCCAGCTAGCTCCTGGGTCAGGATTTCAGGTCTCTAACTCTTTGAGATCTCCCTCTCCTCCTTAGCCACTCTCTAATAAGCCAAGAAGCCAGAATTTTTGCTTTTCTTGGCCTCTGGTATCTGCACTTGAAGGATAAAAGCAGCTAGTGAGAACGTTCACAGTCACAGGCAGTGCTGGCTGCTGCATCCTGGTTCACCGGGACACATTACCCCACTCGGAGACGAGGATGCTCAGCCCTGGTGACGGGGTGACCTTGTTTGCAGCCGTCTGAGCAAGCAGACGGAGCAGCATGCAAACCACTGCAGCACAAGCCAGTCAGCCGGTCTCCATGTCAGAGCACAACCGTTCTCAGCAGCAGCTAGCCTACCTGCATGCAAAAAAACCCGAACACGGGAGCTGCAGATTTAGAGATGCTTTGAATAATCAGTTTATTCCATGCGAGGTTTGGACCAAATCTGAAACTGCCATGGAACGGGATATATTTTTAAAGCAGAGTATGCCCTGGTATTCATCCATCAGCAATGTGGCAGTGAGCCTGCAGCTCAGGCACAAGCCAGTGGGACATCACGCCAGCCGGCACAGGGAACTCATTCCTCCAGGCAGCCTTGTCCCCAAGGCCCGGGCATCCTGCATAATTCCAAATCATTCCCGCTTCCAGGTGGGCAACCCTCCATCCCTGCAGATTTCTCCTCCCTAGCGCAGGGTGCTGTATTTTTGCTAACCCCCAAAGGGCAGTGCTTGGGGAAGGGCTTGTCGAGGGTCACAGCCGTTTTGCTCCCCCCATCGCTGAGTTGTGCCATCGCCTGTGACATCCAGCCCAGCTCTGTAGCATGACTTGGCCATCAGATGAAGAAACCTTCACCTGGGGAGTGGGCTCCTCCAGGCACTTCCAGAGCCACCTCTGTCCTCCGGGACCCAGCAGGTACAAGGGGGATCAGGGCAGGCTCTGAGTCATCACTTGGCTGCAAGCCCAGCCCTGCTGCCAACCCAAAACCCAGTCCCTAAAGCCCTTTAGCTGGATTAAAGGTGCCCATTCCTTGTGCCAAGTCCTCCCACCAGAAGGGAAGCTGTGCTGTGGTCACACATCAACCCTAGGTCACTTGGCTTCTTCCCTCCTTAGGAACCCCCATGGACGGACCATAAGGTCTGCCTAGCCCAAGGTCCTGTCTCCAGTGGCGTAGACCTGGAGAGAAACCCAGGAACAGGCAGCGCTTCATCAGCAGGTTTCCATGTCTCTATGCCCATGTCATTCTCCTCTGAACCTGTCACAGTCTAGCTCTGTCCTTTCTGGGACAGGTCCCAATGTCCCTGAGATGTGGCCATGCTGGGAACTGGGGTCGTGGCCTCCTGATGCTCTTCCTTTCTCCTTTCCTAACACCTCTTAGTTGATTTGCTTTCCTTTACTGCAGCTGAGCACTGAATTAGAGGAGATAATTCAATGTCAAAGATCTGGTTCCCAACTAGAGACAACAGCTTTGAGGCCGTCACCGAACGTGCAGGCTAAAGGCCGCTTTTCCTCTCGTTGAGACCTTCACAGCAACCTGTGCTGCTCCTTGGCATGGTAAGCCCCGTCCCTGCCATCCTGGTGAGCCCCGGTACTGCTCCCCTGCCGTAACATGCTGGGAACACTGCCGCAGCCGGCAAGGGCAGAGCGGCAAGCACGGGGGTGGCATCATCTGCAGCTCCATCCCCAACCACCTCAAGAGGAAAGAGCTGCAGAGCACCCAGGGCCAAGCCTCTGCCATAGCTCTGCAGCCAAGCACCCCGGCCGCAGAACCCCGGGCATCCACCCTCGCCTCCGGCTGCCTCCGCTTGCTGCCAGGGGCGATTCAGCCACGGAGACAGTGGCGATACGGACACTCCAAGCAAACACACAGCCCAGACAAGGGCTGGCTGAGCTCCAGCCCAGCCAAATTCCTGCTAAATGACCACACAAGCCATGGCACAGCTCTGTTCACCCCACACGAGCCCAGAGAAAGCAGCGCCGGTGGGTGAACGTCGCTCGCTCAGCGCCTGCGGCAGGCTGCGAAACCACTTCCCACCCACAGGAACAAAGCTCTGAAGTTTTCAAGAAGGGAACGAGGCGTCCAGCACCTTTCTGCACACTCGGGAGCATTGCCAAGATCCCTGCTCCCCACTTCAGCAACCCATCTGCACTCCCTAGGCTGCGGAGATACGCCCTGGCTGGCCGGAGGGACCCAGGAGAGCCCGCAAAGATGCTATGGGGACATGGCTCCTGGCTGTCATCTGTTATTCTTTCCCCTGAGCCAAAAACTTGGGCAAAGAAGAGAGCAGCATCGATGGGAAAGACCCTGCTTGTCCAAAAATCCCCTGGCTGAGGGGAAACGCTGCCACACTCCCAAGCAAATGACAGCACACGAGCTCCTCCACGCCGCGGGGAGCAGCCAGCGGGGACGGGTGGAACGAGCTCTAATTTTACACATGCTAGTCAAGGATTTCAGCATTAAAGGTTCCCACAGCAACAGTAACTTAGCCACATGTGAATTAACTTCAGAACCATAATCCACACTCAGGCATCCATAATACAGGATTTGCCATTGGGAGGACTCAGGGCCAAAACCCACTCTGGTCCTCTGGTGCTTGGGAAACGGCGCAACGCCCAAACCAAGACACAGGCAGCTGGGGACAGAGGTGATGGCGCAAGGAGAGATGGTTGCGACCCATGGGGATGCTGCTGGGTGCAAAAACATCCGTCTGCTGGCAAACCCTTGCCCACGGGGCAGCCGTGGCTTAGGAGCACATTTGAGGCAATGCTCATCACTTCCCTCTTCCCTACATCCCATTCATGCAGATCTGTGCTCTGACCAAGTACGGAAAAGGCAGCAAAGCCCGGATGATGCCTCGCTGTGCAGGAAGACAACACCCAAGCCAGTTTTTCCCCACCCTGGGTGTTTGCTGGCTCGGGGCACCCCCAGCATCACGACTGCCTCCACGAACAGAGCCCGCAGTGTCATTTCCCCATCACCCAGGCGCTGGGCCGCTTCCTCCCCTGCAGTCACAGGGCTGTGAGCTGGCAGCCCAGCACCGCAACCGCAACGGCTCCTCTGCACCAGCCTACGCCCGGTGTCCAAAGCCGCCACAGCCAGTGCTGCCCCCTCCGCTTCCCAACATCCTCCACCCCCTGCTCCATCTCCTCCGTGGGCTCCTGTGCGCTCTGGGGACTATGCATGCGTGGAGTCATGTGCCACCCCCGGAGACATCCCTGCCAGGGTGCTGCCCGCAGCAGACCTCCAGTTCTGGGTGTTGCTCCTGGCTCCGGGCTCCGAGTATCCATCAGATCCATCGGAAGCGCTGAGCCAGGCAGCCCGGAGCTACCAACCATCATCGGGATTGTGTCTCCCAGATGGAGAAGGGAGAGTGGCCATCAGCTCACCTCAGGCCTGGAAGATCGTGGCAGGGTGGGGGGCTTGGGAATGGCCCTAGCTTAGGTCCCCTCACGCCCACCAGCACTGCTGGGGCAAAGGCAAGGGTGGTGAGAGGAATGCGTCAAGGGAAACCCACACAGGGAGCAGCTCCGGGGAGATGTTTGAGAGAAGAAAATAAGAGCCAGAGAAAGGAATCATCTCTCTGATCTTCTGCAGGTAGGAGGGACGCGCTCGGCAGCTGGAGGTGGCACAGCTGCAGACAGAAGGTTGTATTTTTAAACGCACGGCACTCTTTAATTCATTCCTCGCAATGTTTTAGGTCTCCCTTGTGAGAAGGCAAGGGAGGAGAGGAGCGTGAGGTCCACAGCAGTGGTTTCGATGATGCTTGGGACAGGCAGAGGCCAACTGGTGGTCACAGCTGTAGCTGTCCCCTGCGTACCAAGAGCGGCTCCTGGTCCCCGGCTGCTCGGAGACTCCCCTGCCTAACTCTGAACCTGCATTTCTTGAGCCAGTTCCAAACTAAGAGGGTGCCCACACCCCCACCATGGGGGCTGTACCCACAGTGGGGCCCCCAAGGAGGAAACCTGCCTCAAGGTCACGGTCTAGTCCCCTGAGCCAGCACAGCAGGCAGGGGCACTGTGGGGGACCAGCCCTCTGGGGACCCTGCTCAGCACCCACACGCAAGCATCCCCTCCCCAGCACCCAGG